AATACCTATTGTTGTTATGTTATTATGCTTTTATTTACCGAATTTGTGACTTCTTATTTACTCATAATGTGAACGTGAAACTTCATAGCGATCGCTATTGTATTTCGTTTTGTTTAGATGCGAAGATGCCGAACACACGATATAAAATCACTTGTGGTTTGTGTGGAAAAGTGTTCGATAGTGATTACAAAGCAAAGCACTGTAAAACCACACACCCGAATTATACTGCAAGCACATTGCCACTCCGCACCAAGAATCAAACTCAGCTGGTATTAATTATTTAAACTCATGCAATTTAATATATTTTTCTGTTTTCAAATAATCTTACAAATTGTCGAGTACTACTGTAAGGCCTTAGGCCTGGTTTATACAACGTGTTATGAGCGCGCTATAAGTCTATTAATTCGGTAATAGCACGCTGTATAAATAAATCAAATTAGTTCGCCGTTTAATATCTTCGCCGTCTGAATTAAGTTTGCTTAAACTGCAGTCTGCATTGACTTAATATCGATAAATATAATTTAGGTTTTTGGTACGGAAGATTCCAAAGGCAGTTCAGCATCGATTCGTTTGCAGAAAGGGGTGTCTAAACAGGTTTATATTATTTAACTTTATTTTATGATTGAAAAGATTTTCTGAACAAAGCATTATCTTCCAATTTTAAAGGAAAATAACTTTTACAATGTGTAACACCTTGAACCGTCGCATTATAAAATTTATATGCTTGCATAGATAGTATTAGGAGATAATTCCATGTACATATCTGTCACAGGCAATTGTATGTGGACCTGCTACAGATGTCTCGGTCAGTGATCCCAATGTACCAACATCAAGTGGAGCATCTACCACGGAAAAAATATGTAGTAGTCTGTAGTCATGATGAAATATTTCTTTGCACGTTATTTTTTAGTTATTCAAAACATTCATTATTCATAGTTTCCATACGGTATCGTGTGGATATTATATAAAACATATGCACTATAACTTAACCTCTCAATCATGACCATTACATTTACAGGTTTCAATCTCTAAAAGATCATGGACGGAACCAGAGGAGGAATATAACTCAGAAAAACGTATCCGAAGCGACGATACCATTAATATTCCGGCCTCAGACGAATCAGAATAAACACTGGTATGCTCACGCACTTTATTGCCTTGATTCCGACTGTAAATAATGGACAGAAACACAGTAACTTAACAATTACGTTCTTTTATTTGTAGGAACCCGTTAAAACAAACGAGACGCCAGAGCCCGTTGAAACAAATGAGATGCCAGAACCCGTTAAAACAAACGAGACGCCAGAACCCGTTGAAACAAATGAGATGCCAGAACCCGTTAAAACAAACGAGACGCCAGAACCCGTTGAAACAAACAAGACAACCATTACTTGGATATCCTGCTTTGGAATGCTGCAACACCTTTGTAGCAATTTGACGGATTGCCAGGAATTAATCTCTAAGGCAGAGAAAATAGACGCCCCCCAGTCAGAAAATCTCCTTGGTGAGCTCCTCGATGTGGTCGAACGTGCAAACCGCTTGTCTTCGTCTTTGTTATCGGATGCAAACCAAGCATTGAGGCACATTAATCTGGAAAATGAAGCTTCAGTCAGTCTTCTCTTCAACGGAATTTACTTCAATCGACCGTGATCCAGGTTGTAGAAGGGACATCATAACCGACGAAGACAGGGTATGCATAATTAAACAAGGTCCGTTTCAACCAAAATTGTCAAGATATCCCAGAAACAGCGATATTCCTCCACCAAAGCACTCTCATTTCTCCTCCGAGTGGCTCAACACATATCCACATTTGGAGTACCCCATTAAGAAAGATGCTGCTTTTTGTTTTGTATGTCAGCTATTCCCATCTGCTCCTGGCTGTCGCAAGTCTGAGTCTGCATGGACACTTAATGGTGTGGGAGCTTGGCATAAGATGAAAAGTCGTGGAACAGGAAAACCAGGAAAATTGGCTGCACACTTTAGCAGCTCTAGCCATCGAGAGACCCTTAAAGCATTGCTTGCTTTCCAAAATAAGTCCAACCACGTCGACGTTATGCTGGATAAAGATTGCAGGAAAGCACTGATTGAAGAAGAGGCTGAAACTCAACGTAACCGCGAAGCCATCAAGACACTTTTGGACGTTGCAAGAACTCTTGCACGCCAAGGAATATCTTTCCGTGGTTCGTCGAATGAAAAAGATGGAAACGGAAATTTCCAGCAAATTGTTGGTTTGGTGGCCAGGCAGTCCCCTTCATTTAAGAGATGGCTCAATGATGCTGCAACGCGCCCACACAGAGTTAACTACCTCAGTTCCAGGTCACAAAACGAGTTTTTAACTTTGTTAGCTGGAAATGTTTCGGATAGAGTCGTTGCTCAAATTAACGAAGCTACAATGTTTTCTGTCATTGCTGACACAACGCCAGATGTTTCTCACGTCGATCAACTCTCAGTCGTTGCGAGGTACGTTGATAAAGATGGAATCCCACAAGAACGTCTGGTTGATATCAGGGAGCTCCATTACAAGACTGGAGAAGGCCACGCTCAAGAAATTATTTTTTCATTGAATGCGAAGTCTGTTGATACAAATGGAATAGTTTTCCAGTCATATGATTATACCTCATCGATGTCAGGCGTTTTCAAAGGTTGCCAAGCCAAGATGAAGGAGCATCTGGAGAGAGAAGTTCCTTATTTTCCATGTCTCGCCCATCGGTTCAACACTACTGTTGAGCATAGCTGTGAAGCAAGTGTAGCTGTGTGCAAATTGTTCGAAATCCTGCAAGAGTTGTATTTCTTCTTCACGTCCAGTACGAAAAGATATGGTGTGCTTGGCGGAAAAGTGAAAGAAAGCGAGTATGGAAAACCGCTGGAATTAAGAAATTTGTCAGCAACGCGTTGCATGGAGTGCCCGTGCAGATTCGATAAGGGCTGTATGGTCATGTTTTCAAGAAATAATCGAAGCTCTTGAAGAATTGGAAAATTCAGCTGACACGAAAACCAAGGCAAAGGCAGGGATTCTTCTCGACAGGGTTAAATCGTTTGAGTTTATTGTTATGTTGATGTTTATGAGGAACATTATGATAAAAACTAAAATTCTGACGAAGCAAATCCAAAGTGTTGACATAAACATAATTGATACGCTTGAAGCTGCTAAGGCAACGATATCTACACTACGCCACTTACGTGAAGACGAGGAAAACCTGAACCAGCAAATCAGTGCATCCGTAGCTTTTTCAGAACGCCATGGAATTGATCTTGTTGCTGAATATGACCGCCACCATCGACCCAGGCGTCCGTCAAGGAGAGCTGATGAAAGACCAGAGACAGCGACAAATCTACCACGTCAGGATTTTTACCGAAAACAATTTGTCCAAGTCCTAGATGTTTAGATAAATGCTCTTACAGATAACGTTCAAGTTGCCTGTGATATTGTCGCCCCTGCGATTCGACTCCTTCTTCCTCCATTTAACAGTGATCCTAAACTAGAAGATGTAAAGTCCCTTACGATGATGCTCCCAGAATCAATCCGCCCTGATAACGAGGTTCTATGTGTTGAACTAACGCTGTTCAGACAGGGGGAAATCACAACCATCAGAGAAGCAGCACGTTTTGCGATGGATTGTGAAAGCATCTTTCCCCTGACAAGCAGATGCTACCGTTTAATTCTAACGGCACCGATAACATCGGCTGCAAGTGAACGCAGCTTCTCCAAGTTGAAGTTAGTCAAGACAGTGATGCGCTCAGTCATGAACGAAGACAGATTGAAAGACTTCATGATTCTTAGTTCAGAAAAGGACTTGTCTGACTCAATTGATTTGGATAGACTTGTGGATCACTGGGCAGACGTTCCTAAAACAAAGCGCCTTATAAACGTTTAAGACTTTATGTATATACGGTACAAAGGAAACATTGAACACGTCAACGTTATTTATATTGTGAGTTTATAGTATATTTGCCGTTAATTTTAACGACAGAGGTTAACACTGTTAAAATGAATTAAACACCTACCATGACATTGTACTATGACATCATTTTTTTTGTACAGAATTGTTTTTTGCGAAAACAAAATGTCGGTCCCTGATTGGAACCCCAGAAATTCCCAGTTATACTCGGAATGTGCGCCCCTGCCGGGCGGCACCTCGTCGGCTATCAGCTTATATACGACTCAAACTCATGGTATAATTGTTAAATATAACTGCACAAAGGTCATGGGACAGTTTATATATCTGCAAATTTTGTCGGCAAGAAATTCCAATACCAGCAACACGGAGTAAAGAGTTGGCAAGTTTTTATGGTTAAATTGTGTTTATTTATGAATTATTCCTTTCGCACGATTTCCAACCAAAAAGGCAAGTATTTCTTGTACTTACTGTGTGCGTATGGGCCATTTTTGGTAACTATTTCTTTAGTAAAACCACATTTAAACAAGTTACAGTTGCCAAATTACAGTTTTGGAACAGGCATCAATTTAGCTTCGCCTAAAAGGAAGCCATTTCAGACTGGAAGAAACGCGCCGACATTTTGCAAACAGCGGTCCTGATCATGCATTTTATACATTTTCCTTCACTTGCTTCGTGTATACAGTTTTTAGAAAATGAGTTTTAATTAACTTTCGCGATTGACTTTATTGATTTAAAGTTTTATGAGCCTTGCATGAGGGTATATATGTAAGTATTTTAGAGCCTTTTGGCACGCAACACGCAACTGCAGTAATTGAATCAATACACTTATTTCAAACCACAAAATCTCTGAAATTAATTGTGTTTCAAGACAACTGGATTTAAAAAACGAGATATAACATTCATTTAGGAGTATACTATTTGGTTTAAATGTGGTTTTATTAAAGAAATATTTGCCAAAAAGGGTGCACATACGCACACAGTACGTAGTCGAAGAACGCGTGGCGTTGTCGTTTGAATATACTTTAACTATATAATAACAACTTGAACAAGAACACAAATAGTACGGTCACGAAAACAGTCCAGATAATGCCAAAAATATGCATGAGTAGTTCTCCCTTACGAAAATCAACACTATTTTAACCCTATTATATACCTATTTTACTTTCTATTTTATTCCTATAGGAAAGCTATTTTATTTTTAACCCTATCATGTTGCTATCACATATACAAATCCTATATTAAACCTATTAGAACTCTGTTTTAATTGTATTGTATAGCTATTATAAATAGGTTTTTTCGAAACAAAAAATAGCCCATTTTAAATAGATTTTATTTTTCTGAATCGGTGAAGCACAGATTAAAATAGGTTTAAAATAGGATAAAATATATTTAAAATAGAGTGCAAAATAGAAATAAAATAATAAAGTAAAGTGAAACGTTGGTATAAAATAGATTTTAAAAATACATAAAATAGGTTAAAAATAGACGAAAATACATATAAAATAGTGGATCAACTGCAGTATATTAACTAAAATAGTAATAAAATTACTGCAAAATAGTAATAAAATAGTTTAAAAATATGAATAAAATGTGACCCTCCTTGGGAAAACGTACGTTAACGGTTTTGAAAAACGTTCTGAAAAATCGTTCGTTATCCGTTCGTTATCCGTTTAAACGCTTTAGCGTTCCGTTGAAACGATTTTTGAGATCGTTCAAACGTCTGGCTGAACCGTTCAAACGGTTGGAGAAAAACGTTTGAAAAATGTTGCTAAATCGTTTCAACGTTTGGCTCAAAACGTTCAAATACGTTCACGAAGCCGTTTAAATTCCTTACAGAATATATTCACATTGTTTAAGCTGGCTTTGTAGGTGTTTGTCTGAAACCACTTTGTCTTGTAGGATTTACAAAAAAACACTATTACAGTATTAGTGTTACGGACAGCAGTTAACTAGGAGTTCGCCACCCTTTGCAATATTAAATATTCTTGCAATTTTATTAGAGTAGCGTCGAAAATGTCGCGGTGAAATATTGCAACAATAAATTGAGCAAAAGGTTTCTCGAATGTTAAAAGATGGTTGAAAATATACATCCGCGAGCTTGCCGCTTCCGTCGTTGAATAGCGTCAGCTTAGCGTCAACTAAATTCGCTTAATTAAGTTACTACATTATTATTCTGGCCGAATAACTGAAAGTCGTTATGTTACGCATACAATTGTATCAAAACAAGCATAAAACAGTTTCAATGTAGTCCACAGTAATAAATATTGATCTTAATTAATAATATACCTGGCTTGCCAGTTTCGAAAGCGGATTTTGCTGCGCTCAGAATGTAATAGTCTAGAACGATTGAAAGCGGCAGTAGATCGACCCCTAAATCAATTGAATTCTTGCAACTGAAGTTTGAATAACTAAAGTTTGTTTTCCACTAGCGAAATTTGTCGTGCGAATCTTTTATCTTATAAGCTCTAGACTGGAATTATAATTAGAATTTTAATAAATTATTTTCAATTTTAGCAATAAAAATTCGATTCATGCGATGAAATTCGAAAAACAGGCTTAAGTTAAGTAGCTACGACACGGCACAGAATTTGCTAAATCATGTCACATTATCCGCCAAAGATTCGACTTAATTTTTCGTATAATACATTAGCAACAACGAAATAACATAAAATTTCCAACCTAGTGTACTATATACCTATGTAGCCGCATCATGGACGGCATTTCTAGAAAGTCCAGTAGTTTGCTATACATGAACAAACGAAAATTATAAAATCCATGGCGTTTTAATTAAGCCGAGTCAGATGGAGGAATAAAAATAGCTACGCACATGAATCTACGAATAGCAATAAATCGTTGCCCACCCTGTCCAGTGTCCAGTGGTCAATCGACAACTTTAAAAAGTGAATGGCCACCAAGCACCAGCTAGACTAGAACATAATCAGAAAACAATATATGCTGGCATAAACATGTCATTGAAATACCGGTAATTTGCTCTAAAACGGTTATTCCAGATTAAAATATTCACAATTCTATTTCTAATTGTAAGACCATACTCAGTTGCACACTAAACAAATCCATCGCAGTAAAACGCCACAGTAACTGTGTCTTATACGAATTCGTATACACGCCATAATAATAGAGACTCCTGCCCACTAACCTATACTGATAAGGCCAATGGTTCTGCCGTGAAACAAAATATTATGAAACACATTAATTAAAAAACAATTAACTAATAAAGTATTTTCACTTGTTCGTATATGATATGTTGAAACAGAGGCGGGATAAGTACAATATACAGTTAAACGTGAACAAGAATCACGTTTAATACTGTTGCACTTTTATTGTGTTTATATTAAGTGGAATATTCGACATGAGCGCACACATCATATTAAAGGATCGTATTACATTACTAAATTCTAACAACAACATCTTGGAGAGTAGAGAGTTACGGCCCATAACATTTAAAACATTTAATGGGTCAATTTTACTCGAAACCTTACATTTAAAACATTTAATGGGTCAATTTTACTCGAAACCTTAGTGGCTTACTTTTTCGCTGGTTGTTATACTTTATTAAAATAATTCTGTACCTCATATTTTCCCAAATTTCGCTAATTCAAATGCTTATTAGGTGTCAAGATGACTCCAAATAGGACACAAGGTAGACGCCTTGAAAACCAATACGTACTATATCGTAAATTGCTGAAAAGTGTACAGCAACCACGCTACTACAAAACAGACACGTAGTTCCAAGATTATAATTTACCTTCGCTCCATTTTCATCCACAAGTCATCAAATTTAAATGTGTGAATAAATATAAATCATAAATTTTAACTCCTCTTTACCGGCATATTGGATTGTCTCGCGACCAAGCCGTGATTTGTAACTGAAAAGTGAACAGTGAACAGCTAACACGTCGATAGCATATAATCTACTTCGTAGATTCAATAACTGTGCATGTTGCCCGACGGCAAATTAAATACATTGATAACTCAACTTACTTTGACGGAAATCGGCATACTGTATATCAACACCTAACTGGCACCATAAACCTAATTAAAATAATTGTCGGATTATGATATTAAGTGATCATGTCATAGGAAATAGTTTATATTCCCTTGTAACTCAGGAGTAGAATTTTCTCTCAGAATATAATTTCTCTTACTGGTGCTTGAATACAACTTTAATTTTTCATATGGAGTTTAAAACCAGGAAAATAGATTTTGATACCAAATGAACAGCGACTAAATGAACAAAATCAAAGCTTTTGCAATAAACAGTTATTAGGCTATTAATAAAACTTTCCTAGGCTAAGGCAGCAAAACTGAAAAGTTTATTCGTGCATATACTGATGTATATAAAGTATAATGTAAACTGCACGAAACCTTTGCTTCGAATCCAATAATAATATGTTATTTTACATCAAAAGCTATATTAATACTTGAAAGTACTTATAGTCTTGTGAATCACTGAGTGTCCACCGCAATTACCGCATCAGGTAGTCGGCGTCTCGGCGAATAGTTGCGATTTCCGAATAGTGTTGTGTATAAATTCAGAATTGTAACGGAAAGTGCCTCGTACGGCCATGGTTTTTGAGTACGATTTGCGCCGTTTCCGTTTCGATAAACCATTATAATGTGAATATGTGATACTATATAGTATATCATACATGCATGCCACTCCATTTTACTCAACTCAACTATAATTAAAATGAGAAAGCCGCAGAAGTGCTGACGTCTCTTCAGTCATTGGAAAATACTCCAGCTGCGTGAAATTCAACTCTCTCAAAAGCATAATTAAATTAACATGTATAAT